ACCTTTCATCAGAATTCGAATTCTCTTCTGTGCATATTTGTGTATTTGAGCTTTATCGTGTTGTTAAATCGATGTTGTTCATATGTATATGTTGCGTTATGTTAGAAGTGTACTTTTACTTTCTGCTCCGGCAATTGTTTTCTTGTAGAAGAAGTTCACGCCAGTTAATCTTGGTTTGATCAACTTAGTTCACATATCTGAACAATGTGTATAACTGTGTTTGTTTGGCAAGCACACCCTCTATACCCACTCCTCTTGTTCAACAGAGATGAATGCCACATCAGGCAAGTTCCATTATATTTCAATTTCGAATGCTTATTCTTTTTTCTTTTTTTTTCTTTTTTTTTTTTTTTGTCTCTCTTAAGGTGTTTAGTTTCTTAATTTTTCTAGTGGTAATGAGCTATTTCCTAAGAATGTTGTGTTTCATTGTTACTTAAATAAGAGTTGTGAAAAAAAAAAGGATATAAAACTTCAAAAGTTTACTAGTTACAATAATCTGTACATATATAGAGAGAGAGAGAGAAAATAAAGGTATTCTATGCTTCTCCATTACTGTCTTATCCTTGCATAGCATTGTGCAACTAGTAACCAAAATGTAAATTTTTTATCAAACCCTCTAAAAACACGAACTTGAGAATATTTGAATAAATTTTGGACATTCCCCTTATGTGTATTGGCCATTTACTTTCACATTGATACGTCAACTAAGTTTTTCACTTGAAACAGGTAAGTCATAAATGGAATCGAAGATGAATATACAAAATATAATTTTAGCAAAACTAGAAATGAGTAGGGTGAAGTGAAAATCAAGAGCCAAATATTTCAAGCAGGGTTTAGTAAGACTAATGATCAACTTCAGTTGCACAAACCATCTGAAACATCTGCAATGGGTGCTACTTAGACTGTCTCACATATGTATTTGGATCTAATAATTCTTTCTTTCTTGTCAAGCACACATCCAACTCGAACATCTGCAAATCTTTTTTAAGCCATTCAACCTTTTGTTCCATAAAGTATAATTTGTTTAATAAATACTTTATAAAATTTAGGGTTAATTATAATGACGCCCCCTGAGGTTTGCTATAATAACACTCTTAGATAAGTTAGATGTTTTTTGAACAATGGCACTCCCTGACAAAATTTGGACCCAAACAGACCCTTAAGAGATTTGAAAAGACAAGATTGCCCATCAATATTTAACTAACTTTTATTGTAAAATATTAAAATTTTAAAATCACACTTTTGCCCTTCTACCAATTTCTTCTAAACCCATCCATCCGGCCCTCTCTCTCTTCACCCATTGATTGAATCTACTCCGGGAAGCAAAAGGCTTAGAACACTTTGTTCTGGCCACAGATGAGTATATGTGAGTCGATATATATATATATATATATATATATGGTCTGTAACTTCTATCAGTATATATATGGTCTGTGAGTCGATATATATATATATATATATATGGTCTCCATATTGGCAGAGACCTCGCCCAGATGGCGTAACTGGTCTTTAACTTCTATATAAATATATATATATCTATGTTTGGCAGAGACCGATCGAGATCGCATAACTTATATATATATATATATATATAAAATATATTTCTATATTGGCAGAGACCCAAATCATAACTTCTATATATATATATATATATAGACTATAGAAATCATTTTGCACGATCTGTATGGAGATAAATTATATATATATATATATATATATATATATATATATATGTGTGTGTGTGTGTGTGTGTGTGTGTGTCAGGTTATATATTGTTCATATTAGATCGCACAATCTGCAACTTGAAATCAGGATTTTACATGCGTGCTTCTCGTTGCTCTAGAAATGGATTTGCTTTAAAAGCTAAACCTATATATATATGTGTGTGTGTGTGAATTTCAACTCTCAAAATTTTCTTCTTAAATGCAATTACAACTTTTCATATTTTTCTTCTTAAATGCAATTATCAATGGAATTCCATGGAAGTTAGAATCATGTTCCAATCAGTGAAGCTCATACATATATGACTTAGATGTTTGGTAAAGGGAAAAACATGCAACCAAACCAGAACACCTAATTTGCTTTAGAGAGTAGACAAAATGATTCTAATCTTGGCAATCAAAAAAATTAATAAATAAAACATCCGATTTGTAAGCGTATGTGATAGTATTTTCTTTTATAATTTTTCTCAGCTTTCTCGGCAACCATGCAAGGGTTTTAGAATAGAGAACACACAAAATTCACCTTGAGAAAACCTTTTGCTATTTTGCGAACGAGATCTTTCGGGAATCCATCTATATATATATATATATGTCAGGTTATATATTGTTCATATTTCTATATAGAGAGATGTGAGAGAGGTTATTTTGGACATTTCAAATTTATTAGAATGGGTAATTTAATAATTTTGTGTCATTTCATAAGTCAAAGGGCATTTAGGTCATTTTATCACATGTCAGCCCTTCAATGGGTGTCTTTGTCAAAGGCAGCAAAGCTTAGGGGGTGTCATTGTTTAAAAGTGGACTAATTTGTATATGACTGTCAATAAGGTAAACTTCAAGTGTCATTGTAATTAATCCTAAAATTTACCTTTAAATTTTGAAGATATATGTTGATCACACAATGTGAGAAACACATCTTCGTTTGACCCATTCTATTTTAATTTTGTAAGCAATATCATCTCAAATCTCTATACTAATAATATTTCATTTTATTGCTACCCCGCTGATAGGAAATCATATTGTTTCATATAAGATTTAAGCACACAAATTGGTAAATGTCAAATGGGAATAATCACCACAAATCGTAACAACAAAAGCAGGAATGAGGGAATGGGGTAAAAAGATGACATCCTAAATGACCTAACAACTGTTCTAAAAACAGATGGGTTCAATGGTTGATATTAATGTCACAACTCACAAGAAGTCTAAGAAGCACGGACGCCTCAAAGAAGGTACCGTGTCTGACACTCCTAAACATGTATTTGACACTTTTTGAAAGTGATCATAACTTAAAATTAAATTTCATAATATTTTACGATTAGCCGACAATCCCATATGATTGGCCAGCACATCCTAGACACTACCAACAAGTCTGGTATGACACCAACATATCTAAAAGTAGCCTTTATTTGACAGCCTTGAAAATAATATGAACAAATCTCAAAATTCAAATCTTATTTATTTATTTATTTATTATTATTTAAGAAACATGTTGTCTATAAGTCAAACATGCAATGAAATCTTTTCATATAAGACGATATACTAATCAGTGTTGTCAAAGGCGTGCGCCTAGACTCAAGGCCCCAGGCTCATACACGTGCAACAATTGCGCCTATTGTGTACCCTTTGACAACATTTCCTCTATAATATGAAATAAAATACTAATTAAGTAACGATAGAGAGTCCAACAGTCCAACATATCCAATTAATTTGTATAAATAAGGGTTGAAGTCATCCAGACATCATGAATATTAATCACACCACGTAAATCTGCCTTCCACACACCACATACTTAATCAATCTAAACAGCATGGTCACTCAACTATTCATGGGTAAAGCAACAAACCCAATAAAAAAATTGCACAATCAATACACAAACACATACAATTATACATGGTTTTCCATAAATATGTGATTCAATGATGTTCTGGGTGTTCAAGCAAATCAAACCTTTCATCTTCTTCTTTCTCCTCTGATCATCTGCTGCTGTGAAATTCACATGAAGAAGATGTGGTGTCCCCAAGATTCTTCACCTTGGAATTTATCAAACTTGGCACAAGTTCTTGAGTTGGATAGAGCTATGTGGAGTGAAATTCCATTATACCCACAAAGGGTGGGAGGATAAAATATAAATGGGTTATAGAAAAGAGGGGTGGAGGGTAATCTGGGAAAAGAGGCAAAGCAACAGTATGAGTTTGCATATGAAGAAGCCATGGGTTTCAAGTGCCCAAAAGCTTCCTGCAACAGACTCATTTTGGTATAGCAAGACATGAGGGGGCATCGGGTGTGGCGGCTATAACTACACCACGCTCAGTTACTAAATTATTCGCCACGTCGACAATATGTGTTTTTGTTTTGTCAAAAGTTTCAGTAAACATTACCACCAAATTCTACTGTTCTGGCCCTTCTGGGTGAAAAACAATTAAGTCCAAAAAATTCAAATCTTTTATTTATACTCTTACAAATTAAAAGTAATTTTTTTTAGTTATAAATTTATTTAAGAATTTATATATAATTATTGTTTATATATTTCTTAAAATATTAGTTACCTGATAATATTATGTTATGATTTTAAATTTAATTAATTTAATATAAACTCAATTCAAAAACTCTCGTGTACACAATTTTAGAACAAAATAATAATAATAATTATTCTATAAAAAAATCAATAAAATATATGTATTTTCTTTTTATTCAAATTTTATGTCTACTATTATAAATGAATAAATGAAAGATTTAGTTATTTAAGATTTAAATGAAAACAAAATTTTTAAAAGTAAGACTTATTTGTTCTAAAGAAAATTCTTAGAATTTATTTTTCTTTCAATGTAAAAAGTAGAACTTGGTGATAATTTTTCATTGATTATACTATTCACAAAGGTACATGTGTTGGGTAGATTGACCATCAACTTGAATAGTGCATGTGAAATGCAGGGATTGAAAACAAATTGCCTGAAGCCAGTTGTCATACCAAGTAGAACTGTGTTTTCTTGCCATTCAGTGCATTTTGAGGTATAAGAATGGTTTGAATTGTTTCGCAGACTAAACTTAGTTTTGTAATAGGACGTGTAAGGTGCATAATAACAATTTTGAAAAGGGGAAGGATATAGATATTTAAATTTTTAGCAACAATATATAGATGTCAAAGAACATATTTTCCAATGTTTTTTCTAAGCTCATTTCGACTTTGATGCATGTTGAATCTAATGACCGAAAAGACAGAAAGAGAGATAAAATTAGATTAATTGCAGCACATCACATATAATTGGAAAGGGGTGTCTCAATTATATATCATCAAATCGATAAGCATACAAAATAATATACATATATAAAGACACACACAAACACGTACCAAAGTTTGTGTGAACAGGACTACAGGTAGAAGGAAGAACCGAGTACGTCTTGCAAGAAAGAAAAAAATCAAATGGTGGAAGGTCGAAGATTTGCAAGCTTGCTCATTTGAGAAAGAATCAAAACATTGGTTCCAGTTATCTATCTACCGCCTTTGTTTTTCTTTTACTGTGACCACCTGGAGACTTGACTCTGACCTGGCCTGCCATTGCTTTATACATCTGGTCCTATCCTACATGAAACCAAGAAACACAATGACATACATACAGTTTTTTGTTAGCAAAATACTGATTGTTAAGAAATAATTGCACGACTTGCCAACAAAGAATTAAACTAACCCACAAAATAAAACCGACAATTAAACATTTAAATCGATCACAGGAGAGAAACGTACTGGGGATGTCTCGACTTTATTTCACTTGTTTGCATGTCCAAGTAAAATAAAGAAATAAGAAAAGAAGCATTCAAATTTTAAAAATGTTAAGCAGTTGGTACTAATAATGATTAACCTATTACCTATAGAATCATTTTTATGGAGTTGTAGAGAAGAAAAAGATCCAAATTAAGATGTAGATTGAAATAGACAAAAGTGAAGAATGTTATACCTGTGACCAAGCATTTGATCAATACTAAATGTAAACAAGGAATGGTTGCAGGGCATCCTTAGCATTGGGGTGGTCCCACTCCAGTGATTCCCACCATCCTATTGGATAGAAATCGATCTTTCTAAGAGAGATGGGAGGAGAAGGTTGGCCATTAACAAGGGGCAGAGAGAAAGGGAGCCTCTTCAGCTTTGGACAATCATATGTGTGAATTACTTCAAGGGAATAACAAACCATCGAACCCTTGCAGATGCTCTCCAATCGTTCCAGATTATGCAGATACAATACCCTCAAGTTAGGGAAGGTGAAAATGGTGGAAGAAGAAGAAGAAGGATGGTTGTTGCTTGCGACCATTAATTCATCTTCATCATCTCCTATAATCTCCTCCATTTCATCACAGCCCACAACTCTAATTGTTTGAATGTTTGGGAGGTTCTCCAGCAACCTAGGCGTCAACAGCTTCTTCATTTTATTACAACAACGGATATCCAGCATTTGAAGATTGGAAAGGGTGCCAGGTGGAGTTGCAGTTACTCCTAACCCCTTAATGAGGCCACTTAATTCCGGCAAGTTGTAAAGTTCCAATTTCTCAATGCTTTGAAGTGGAGAGCAATGCCTTTCTTCTTCAACTTGGTTCCATGAGGAGGACGACGACGACGACGACATGCACTCTATCCCATGATAGCCCATTTTACTTTCTTTCAAGTCTCTTGCACTAATCAATGAGCGAGAAACATCACATAAGCTACTGACATTGTCACAATCAGAAATTATCAGGCGCTTAATGTTGTGTGGAAGCAGCAAAAGCGTATCTTCTCCTCCATTCTCGAGTTGACAATTTTTAAACACTGCTTCTTTTTCATATTCATATACCACTCCATATGAATATTCGCCAACATGAAGACGGCACGTGTTCAACTGCCTATAGTGATTGGATTGAACATATCGATTAAAATCAATCATAGTGCACAGGCACCCTTCAAATTCTTCCAGCTGCCCCAACCTCTCCAATTCCTTTACTCGTATCTGTATTGAACCGGTTCGAACAACTTGGAGACCGGAGAGTTTGTCAAATATCTCACACGGAAACAACTCCAGACTTCCTATGCCATCCATATATAGGCATTTGAGATTGACCAACATTTCCATACCTTGCGGAATTTCTTCGATCTTGGTATAACTAAGATCCAACAGCTGTAATGCCTTAAGCTTCCCCAAAGGTGGCACACGTGTGAGATTTTTGCACGAGCTAAGAAACAATGCAGTGAGATTCTTCAAGTCCGATATAATATGTGGCAAATTAACAATTCCAGTATAAGATAAATCAAGAACTCGAAGGGCACTCATTTGCTTAAAAAAACTACAAGGAATCCTTTTTAAACCCGAATTATATTGCAATATCAATGTTGATAATCTAGGACACCTTGGTGACATGCCTCTTGGAATCACTTCAATGAAATTTTCCATCAAGGAAATTCTCTTCAAATCTTCCGTCCATTCCTCCTCTTTTGGTATTTTCTTAGACTGCATACCAGCCCTTACCATCAATCGATGACTTGCGATCTTTAGTGCCATCTCTCTAATCAAATCATGCATCTTCACGCAAGGGTGTTCGTACTCTTTACAACTTTCTAATAAGCACGCGTTCTCAAGTTCATTCAACATACTATGACCCTTGTCAAACTGTGCTTGCCGCGTCTTCATTCTATCTATTAGTCCCTCTGCAATGAATTTGGGTATCAATTCATCTCTTCTTATTCTATAGTCTTCAGGATAAAGTGCACAATACAAAAAACAGTCTCTCAGCTTTTCATCCTTCACTCGCTTGTAGCTAAATTTTAATTTCAAGAATACATCATCTTCCATATCACCCTGCTTGGTGATGGATTCTTTCAATTCTCGCAATGCATTCCTCCACTCATGAATGTCGTTCACCCCCATCATGCTTCTAGCCACAGTAATAATTGCAAGTGGCAAGCTACAACATCTTTTTGCCATGGACATTGCAGTCTCTTTTATTTCTGGATCCTTTTGCCACGAAATTTCACCTCCTTCAGGCACAAGTTTCTCCAAGAATAAATTCCATGCTTCATCCTCAGAAAGAGGTCCTACTTGAATTATTTCCTGGCATCCCATCTTACGACATACATTCAACAAGCGAGTAGTAAAAATCAATTTCAATCCATTCACTCTACAAGGAATTCCAATCTCCTCGAGACTAAAATGTTGCCACACATCATCCAAGATTAGTACAAATTTTTTCATTCTCCTCAATGCTTGTGAGAGTTTGGCTGCCCTTCTATTTCTTTCATTCTCTCTTGTGAGATCCAACTTTAGCAAGTTGGCAATGTCGTATTGCAATTTATCAACGCTCCAATCTTGAGACACAGTAAGCCAATAAACATTGACAGAAGAGGTTGCAGAGCTTTTTAAAAGTAAATTATGGATGTGAGTTGCCAAGGTTGTTTTCCCCGATCCCCCCATTCCATAAATTCCAATGTACATAATATCCTCTTTCATCAAATAATTATGAACTTTTTCCAAATTTTGTTTAAATTGCTGACCTATTAATTTTGTGGTCAACAATGGCACTGCTTTGGTGTCATGCACATTAAGTAATAGCCCCTCTGGAAACTGACCTTGGTCAATCAGTTCTACCACTTCACCAATCATTTTCTCAACACGTTTTCCCAATGGTAGTTTTTTCAAAACACTGCATCCTTGTACAACTCGTTGTAAGCATTGAAATTCATTTTTCTTCTTTTGCACATTATCCAACCAATTCTCGACCTCTCTCTTTCGTTTCTTTCCCGTTCGAAACTCTGCATCTTGCAGCATTGCAATTACATCATCTGCTCGGCAGCTCAAAGATTCAATTTTGCTTCCGAGAGTTTGCATCTCATCATCAAGGCTGCTGAAATTGCTTATCTGTTCCGTAATGTTCCTCCACATATTCATAGCGGTAGCACTGCCAAAACCAAGAGGTTATATAACATAGTCAAATACAAGAAGCAAGAAAACTTCTAACAGAGATCAATTTCCATTAATTTCATCACCAAGTAGATGATAAATTATGCTAATCCAATCCCACTTCAATGTAAAATTAAAAATGAAAGAGTAATTATACTCCAGCATGTTACTACTTTCAGCTATAAACAAATGTTACTAGATACTCCCTCTATCAATTGTCTATCTTATATACTAAGTATAACAAAACTGTTTGAATAAATTATTAGAATTAAAATGTTACCAATGAAAATTCTGTAAAAACTCACCACTCCCTTTCATTCTATTCTTCGTTTCTATATCCTTAAATTCCAAAGGACCATTTTTTATTACAAAGAAAATGACAAAATATATATTAGTTGAAAGCTGATGCATGATGCCCAACAAAAGAAGAAATGTGACACAAATTTCAAGTCCTCCGGCCAAGGCATGAAAACCCTCCAATTTGAGGCACGTGCCGCAGGAGATTATTTTTAAAGATATTAACAAAATGGGTCTCGCATTATAGTTGAAGTATATTGAAAATCACTCAAATTTGATGATCATCAAAATTTTCAATCTGATCAAGTTGGATATTTTGAAATTCAAATAATAAATATTGTTATAAAACACTATCAAATCAACATTTCTAAGTAAAATAATGAAAAAAAAAAGGCCCCGAGGTAAAATATTCATTTTGAATTTTTTTTTCCGGGTAAAATTCTTTTATTTTTATTTGCAAAAATTTACGTCGAGTCCATAGAGTCGTGGCATGTAAAATAACTTATCAAAAATTGATTGATAAGTTATTTTTATTAAATTTTAATATATTTTTTCTTCGTAAATATTTTATGACAACCAAACACTAGAAAATAAAAAAATATTTTTTTTTTAGATGAGGTTGAGGTCGAGTCCATAGAGCGGGACATGTAAAATAACTTGTCAAAAATTGATTGATAAGTTATTTTTGTTAAATTTTAATATATTTTTTCTTCCTAAATATTTTATTGCAACCAAACACTAGAAAATAAAAAAATATTTTTTTGAAAAATATTTTATGGCCAAACAAACGGGGAGCCTAAAAATTTGATTACTTGCTCCTTTTGCATCTTGTAAAGTATTAAAGGAAGCTATTTCCAAGTATTTCCTAGGGCATGCATGGTAGTCCCCCCTGAGAAGATTATGCCACACCACATGATATGATCAAAATCTAACCGTGTTGAATGTTGTATTCAAAGTAAATTACAAGGGAAAAGCGAATAAAACAGTCTTTAATGATTGTTACAAGAGGAGAAGCATAGCTGCAGAAGTGTTATAGCTGCAGCAAAGTTATTTAAAACTCTACAATAAATAAGCATAAGAATGAAACATAATGACACAGAAGTTCAAAATAATTACATTATAATGAAAAAATAATAAGCGCAGCTACAAATTAAAAATTTGAAAGGCAGATGAATACCTGATAGCCGGACTGGCTGAGATTTGAAGTATATATTTTGATGAGAATGCAAAAACAGCAGAGAGGTGAAGCTGGGAAGATAATTGATGGCAATTAAGTTGTGTAGTGCTGAATGCTTATCCTCTGAATTGAAGAGAGAGTGAAACCGAAAGTGAAAATTTCAAAAAAGCAGAAGGCATCCAAAGCCATCCCACATAAAGGTACGTATACCATATAATGGCTTGTACAGTGTAAAGTTATATACTGACAAGTCATTTCCTCAAGAATTGGGATTTCACTTTTCAGCAATCAGATTGAGAAGCTCAAAGGTAAGTTTTCTTAGATTCTAATATGAGGTAAATTCTCAATTCGGGTTTCTTACTGTCTGGCGCGCGGATATAAAATATACATAGAAGTGGATCTTATTTGTTCTTTATTATAGGTGCTTTTCTTTTTTTTTGGGAACATCTTAATTTGCAAAGGGTTCGAGTCCGTGGTCAAAATTGTGTGTTTGCTTTCCCATTTAATAATACTAATAATAATTTTTAAAAATAGTACGAAATCCAGGTTTCATGGAAAAGAACAGAAAAGAAAAAGGAGCATACTTGGTTTTGAGTTGAAGAGAATGTGAAAAGAGAGTGAAAAATCTATAAAGCGAAAGGTATCCAGTAGTGATGGCACTTTAATTGCTGGGTGGTTGGTAAAGTTAATAAAGGTTTTTCTTTTCTCTCTTTTATTGCTTTATTTTTATTTTTTTTGAACTAAATAGTATTATTTAAAGAAAATAAAATAATTTCTATAAAATTTTATCACAAATTACTTATTTTTTCTAAGACTCTACCACAAATTAGCTTTTATTATGAGTTTTTAATAAATAAATAAAAATCTAATTAGAGAAGTATTATTAATATAAAAAATTATTTATTAATTGATATAAAAAGAAGTTTTCAAATAATTTTTATAAAACTCTAACACAAATTACCTATTTATCTATTTATTATGAGTTTTTTAATAAAAAGAAATCTAATTAGAAAAAAATATTAATATAAAAAATATTTATTAATTGATATAAAAAGAGTTTTTAAAAGTGTTTCTATTAAACCCTAACACAAATTACATATTTATTTATTTATTATAAAATATTTATTAATTGATATAATTTTTTTTTTATAAAAATAGTTTCTATAAAACTCTAAAAATTACCTAATAAAATCAATCACAATAAAATAGTTATTATTTGTTAGAAGAAGAATAGTTATTTTTTTTTATAGATAATTATCACAATATAACAGGCCCGGCCCAATTATGATTATGTTATTATCAAGAAATAACACATATCATCATCCTATTAATTCAAGAAACCTATAAATAGAGGTATGGGGGAAGGGTCCAGAAATTCAGAGGCGCATACATCCAGAATTTCAGAGTAAAATACAGAATTCCTACCTCCCAAAGGGAGGTCATGATTCGAATCAGAGTAAAATACAGAAACTCTGGGTTCGAATCTCAGTGAAGGCAGTGTGTGTGAGTCCCAACTAGGAAAAAAAAAGAGTTTCAGTATTTATTTATTTATATAAAAAAATATATTTATTAATTGATCTAAAAAGAATTTTTATCTATACTATTATTAAATATACAAAGAGTTTAGTATTTCAGTATTGATTTATTTATATAAAAAATATTTATTAATTGATATGAAAAGAGTTTTTTTTTTTTTTAAAAAAAAAAAAAAAAACTCTATAAAACTCTAAAATCTACCCAATAAAATTCAAATTAACCAATTTATCTATTTATTATTATATTTTTTAATAAAAGAAAATCTAATTAGACAAGAATTATTAATATAAAGAATATTTATTAATTGATATATAAAATAAAATATTTTTTCCAAAACTCTACACGACAAATTAGCTTTTATTATGAGTTTTTTTTAATAAAGTTAAATCTAATTGGATAATGATATATTTAAAGAAAATAAAATAATTTCTATAAAACTCTATCACAAATTATCTCTATTATTTTCAATAAAACTCTATCAATTTAGACAAAGATATACTTAAAGAGTTTTTATAAAATACTAACACAAATTACTTAATTATCTATTTATTACGAGTTTTTTTTAATAAAAGGAAATATAATTAGACAATTATTATTACTATAAAAAATTATTTATTAATTGATATAAAAAGAGGTCTTAAAAGTGTTTTTATAAAACTATAACACAAATTATCTATTTATTATGAGTTTTCTTTTAATAAAAGGAAATTTAATTAGATAAGAATTATTGATATAAAAAATATTTATTAATTGATATAAAAAGAGTTTTTATTAAACTCCAACACAAGTTACCTATTTATTTATTTATTATGAGTTTTTGAATAAAAAAAAAAATCTAATTAGACAAGAATTATTAATATAAAAAATATTTTTTAATTGGTATAAAAAATAAAATAATTTTTTTAAAACTCTACCACAAATTTATCTTTTATTATGATCTTTTTTAATAAAAGGTAATCTAATTAGACAAAAATTATTAATATATAAAAATATTTATTAATTCATATAAAAAGTGTTTTTAAAAGATTTTCTATAAAACTCTAACACATATTACATATTTATCTATTTATTATGAGTTTATTAATAAAAGAAAATCTAATTGGATAAGGATATATTTAAGGAAAATAAAATAATTTCTATAAAACTTTATCACAAATTACCTATTTTATTTTCTTTAAAACTCTATTACATTATAGAAGGATATATTTAAAGAAAATATATAATAATTCATATAAATAAAATATAAAAGTGTAAAGGATTTCAGCATTTTAATATTTATTTTTTAATATAAATATATATATTAATTAATATAAAAAGAGAACTCTATCACATATAACCCTGTATTTATCTATTTATTATGAGTTTTTTTAATAAAAAAAAATAATTTCTATAAAACTCTATCTCAAATTAACTATTTTATTTTCTTTAAAACTCTATCACATTATAAAATGATATATTTACAGAAAATAAAATATAACCTAGGGTCTTCCAAAAAATTACAAACTACATATAATAAATTTTTATATCAATTTAAATCTAACGTATGATTTGTATACCTGAATTTCTATTTCAAAATTTAATTAAAAATTAATATAATTGATATTCTATTGTAAATTTAAAATTATACTAAATTTCAAATTTTCTAATAAAATTCAAATTAAAATTTACCTAATAAAATTCAAATCTTTACTATTATATATATATAATTTTTTAAATATTACCTTATAAAATTCGAATTACAAATTACCTACTAAAATCCAAATTACTTAAAAGAATTTATTACTTTGCAAAACTCAAATATTTCAGTATTAAAATAAATAAAATAAATTACTAATTAATAAAAAATAAAATATAAATTTTTCAGTATTAATATAAAAACGTAAAAGAATTTATTACTTTACAAAAACTCAAATTCTACTACCAATTTTAAAATATTTTAGTATTTATTTATTAATATAAAAAAATCTTTATTAATTAATATAAAAAGAGTAACAAAAATTACTATTTTTTGTAAGGTTTATTATTACAAGCTTCAAATCAACAATTAGAAATATATATATATATATATATATATATATATATATATATATATATATACACACACAAATTTTGTAAGTCTGCAATAGAAACAAAATACGGAGCAAATAGAATTTTATTAATTTATGAATGTGGAGTACAGTCCTTTGTAATATCTTTTATAAAAAAAGAATGGTCCTCTGATTCGATCTCCTTGTTTTTGGTTGGTTGGATCCAAGGGCTGCACGAACTTGTTCTTGAATCAATGTGAAATTTGATGAAGAACGGCACGTTGTTGGATGTGCTTGATGTTCTTCGCTTTGGGGTTTCGATTCTGAATTTGTGTCTGAATTCTGAGTCTTTGGATTTCTGAGTCTCTGAACTTCTGAATTTATGTCTGAATTTGTAGACTTCTGAATTCTGAATCCTCCCCCTTTTTCTTCCTCCAAGCCTCTATTTATAGGCTTCTTGGATTAATAGGATGATGACACGTGTCATCTCCTGATAAGGAAAAAAAACTATAATTGGGCCGGGCCGGATATATTATGATAATTATCCTTAAAAATAATTATTCCAAATATATTTTATTAGGAATAATTATTCTTTTTATTTGACCATCTAGACTCTAGACTGAGCTTAATTAAATAATTTAAGTGGACCATACTTGGGACAATTAAATAACTTAATTAAACATTGGGCCCATATTTAATGGGTCCATTTGTCCAAATTAAAGTTCACTAAAATTTTAGTGTCTACAAATTGCCCCCACTTCAAGTTCTACGCTTAACAGGACTTGTCTCCTTTTTCAAGTGGGACTTGAAGTATCCAACTTTTTTTTTTTTTTTTTTAGATTTTTACTTTCCAATTTATACAAATCCCTTGCCTATATATACCACCAAAGTCATAGGGTTTGACATCAATTTCAATCAGTTCTGAAGAACTTGTAAGATTGCGGCCTCTGAAGATTGTGTTGGATTGCGGCATCTGCTTGAACACATAGGTATGAATGCTTTTTTTTTTTTTTTCATGCCTGTTGTTGTTGGAGGAATCAATGTTTTTTTTTTTTTTTCCTCCTCCTCCTCGACGTTGCCTGTTGTTGTTGGAGGAATCAATTTTTTTTTTTTTTTTTTTCCTCCTCCACGTTGCCTGTTGTTGTTGGAGGCAAATTTTTTTTTTTTTTTTTCACGTTTCCCGGAGGATTGCAATTTTTTTTTTTTTTTTTTTTTAACTTTCCTTTTCTTTTCTTTCCTTTTTTTTTTTTTTTTTTTTCACGCTAGATTTCTTTTTTTTTTTTTTTTTTTTTTTTGAAGGACTTGAGAAGGTATAGCAAATTGGTTTTGTCAGCCATAACAGAAATTGATATCCTCTTTCTAAACAACATCGATCGAGCTTTGGTATCCATCATGGTGGTGTTCAAGTGTTTCGCAAAGCAAAAGCTGACTATCTTAGAGAGCGAAAATAGTCAACGAGTCCAAGGAACGACATTAAGTGTATATGACTCACTTTTTGGTCGCAATGCTATTCAAGTGCCTGATTCTAACAATAAACATTGTTCATCTCA